TCTGATGAAATTTCTATTGTTATGTATCTGAAAAATTATTGGACATTGATTTCAAGATTGAGGGCGTTTGAATGGAGTTTAAATGGTCGATCAGTATGGCATAGAAAACGAGGTAATACAATACTACCTCTTTATGATTTATGAAACATGTTGATATTGGTAAATGCATGAATAAGATAATTTTTGGTCTTATCTGTATAGTTAGGTAATTCTTACATTCGATCTGAATGCGGTAAAAAGACAGTAACTGAATGAAATTATGATGGTTTGTACAAGGAATTAGAAGTTGTTAAGGAATAACTTTAAGTTTAGAGATTATTTGGAAAAACAACTAAACCTAGGATCTCTTAATTTTATTTATCTCTATTAAGAGTTTTAATACCGAAGTTACCTGGTTAAGGAATTATGAAAATGCCCTTGAGAGGTAAAAATAGTCCTAGTTGACTCTGAATGAGAAAGTACCCTGAGAATTCATACCTAAACCAATAAATTACAGATTTTATTATTAAAATCTTGTCTTTGCCAGAAAATTCCTGATAACATGTTTGTAACATCTGAGAAGGCAGTTGACCTGAAAATCTCCGAGTTAAGAGTATATACTTGAAAAATAAATTATTGAGGGTACTTCTTTATAAGAGTTGTTCGAAAGGACTAGAATAGATGATAAGTTTAAATTAAATAATAAGATCGGACGGAATAAAGGGATTTAAATACCCTGAATCTATAAAATGACTAAAATACCCCTGGAATGAAAATAACCCAAGAATATCACCAAGCCCAGGAATGATTGGATATCTTCAAGCTTTGAAATGACTGAAATAACATTGAGTATCAAAATGACCAAAATACCCTTATAGCCTAGACTAAGTAAATGTCTGGGAATAATTAAGGAATCCAAATAAACATGGGTGTTGTACTACCCTTAAAAGTATGGAACATAACCTAAGTGAGTCGATCAACCCTAATGATATGTTAGTACCTGAACAACATATATATCACTTGAATGTGTGTTCGTCTTCTCAAGTTTGGTTCGATGATAATTTTGGAAGTACTCAGCTCAGCTCAGCTTAACTCTAGATCGCATTCGGTAATGAGAAGTGGATATTCATTAGACAAATCAACCCCAAATACCAAATTAAACTGAACAAAATTACAATATGTATCTGAAACTCAGAAATGTCTGAATTACTCTGGAAAACCTAGAAGTAACTGGAATGGACTTGATTGTTAAATGAACTAAGTAACCTCAATGACTAAGGATTAAGTAAGTGATTTGAATAAGTCTGGAAACTCTGATTAGTTTACATAGTGTACCATTACTATGGGTTATGAACCATAAATCAAGTACGTCAGCATTTCCTGATATAGTTGAAACATGAAAATGAAATAAAGACCATTAGAATATTTGTTCATCTCATTAAGATCCGTTCAGCGATGACTCAAAAGATGATTTATGGACAATAATTTTTTATATTAAAGAGTAAATACTCTGGAAGGATAATGAATTGACTAGTCGACAAGCATTAGTCTTGGAGTTGTTCATCTCGAGTTGTTCGATAATATGATCAATCAACATAGATTGTAAATGTCCTGAATCTTCGTTCTCCCTCATCAGCTCAAATCACTCTAGTCATATCTGAAAACAAAAGTAACTCGGATGTAAAGGATTTTAAATACCCTTATGATTACGTTGAGCTTCTGAAAGTCTGAATACGATATGATCCTGATAAATCACATTCTGGATAACTGATGATTCCACCAGTTAATAAACTCTTCCAATAGTGATTCTCACTTTCGGCATTCTACTGGTAAACTGAAGATTTGTGTTTCTCTACCCGATAAGATTATCCAGTATCTCTGAATAATATCTTAAAACTATAGTGTGTTCCCTAATCACATGAATGTTATCTGATTTCTGATTTAAATTCTATTTTCATACCTGATATGAATTATGTTCTGATTTCTGACCTGGATTCTGTTCAGATATCTTATCTGAATTCTATTTTGATTTCTGATATCTCCGTTTACTAACGGAAAAATGTTTTACTTGGGGGATTATTGTTGGAGGAAGTATATCTGCAGGTTCCTCGGCTTTGTGCTCAGGGTCTTACTAGTTGTGCGGGGTGTATGGTTCTGGAGAACCTACACAAACATATTATGAAAGGATAGGGGTAGTTCTCATGTTTAAAAAAATTAAAAAATGTTTTAAAAATTATATATCTTTTTACTAGTTTTATGGGAACACATTAGATAACCTATTTTGATCTCCTGAACTCAGTCATTCAAAATATTTCCCTGAACTAAACGCTCATTGTCTATTACTACCTAAAATATCAGTAGAATCTCTGGTCAACATAAAAACAACCTTAGATGTCTGAACAAATAAGGAAATATATGTTTATCTGTATCTACACGTTATTCAGCATCATCTAGTAGTTCTGTATTACTGAGCTTTCCAAAGCTCACTCTGTTACTCACATTTTCAGGTTAAAAGAATTGTACCAGTGCATCTATTGACATCAGTAAAGGAGTTCTTCTGGCGTTGCTTGCAGAGTATGGTACATGTGATTAGGGGTATGTAATTGTATTTTGTTTTATATACGAGTCTGAAAATCTATTTTATTTCTGCATAGTGATAAATCATTTTATGAGTTACATGTTTTAATAAAAGTTTTAAATTTTCTGAGATTTTTACAGTGGGTCACTCTGGTGGCCCTAATGTGACAATCCAGATCGGATTGGGTTAGCCGCATCGGTCTGAGGGGTTACAACAAAAGCTATTTTTGGTATTGATACTCATAGGGGTATTGATACTTGACCATAGGTTATTGATACTACTAACTTTGGATGGTCAGATTTGACCTGATTAAGGCCCGTAATAGTCAGGGATAATTCGAAATGGTAGAACTTAGTCTGTGGGGAACATAAAAGGCCAAAGGGGCCTAGAGACACTCATAGTAATGGGTTACAATCAGGTTAACCACATTGAGCGTAGTGCATCCAAGTATCTTCAGTTGAACACATAGTGTATACCAAAGAATGAAGGATCATTACAGTGGATGTACCAATGAGCAGTATGACAGAATAATCAGATTACGAAATAGCGAAGTTGCATACTGTAAGAATGTCAGTGAATGGTAAACATACAATTGTCCCTCCGATTTAAGAGTGAATTGAGGGAAAGTGTAGTAAGAACAATTAAAGTGTCACTACCTAGTAACGAAATCGAATCAGGTATCGAGCTAGCTAGTATCATAGCTAATGAAGAACATATGCAATGATCGTAAAAAAATCATGAAGCACATAAAGACATCAATGACTAAAATACCCTTACATAACAAATGACCAGAATAGATCAACTTAATAAACTAACATAAGTAACAAACTAATAAATTTTGCATAATGTTATTGGTAAGAGAACGAGTGAGATATTAGCTAGTGAGGGGATGACCTCACTTTAGTGAGCCTAGTTACGCTAGACTATAGTCATGCTAGCATAGTTTCCCTAGTGGGGCATTGTTAATGTTAATTGGGTAGGAGGTTCAAATGTTCAAGAGGAGTTGATTAGCAGTGTTAGTGTTTCGAGGCCTTTGGCCTTAGATATGCATGTATAATTGTATTCATCCAGTACAACATATATCCTTAAAGCCTAGCTTGATGGCTATGTGAGACTGAGCAAATGCTTCAGTTGAGGGAGGATTGTATCGATGCTATGTGACACTGGTATCCCCCTCCATGATCTACCTGATGGCTATATGAGGACCAGGAGATCATTCAACATCTTAGTGAGAATTTCATTGATTCTATGTGACAACGGGTTTCTTCAGTTAACTAGTGTTGCATTATCTATGTGAGACCAGATACTAATAGTGTTGCATTCAGTTAATGCACAATAAAGTCAATGTTGCATTCATATAATGCACAAGAGAGTCAGTATCATATTTAGATAATGTGTAGCAATTACAGTCATTAGGGTTATATACCCTTTAGAGGTATACTCATGACGAGGCCCTTTGGGATTAAGGGAAACATGATAGTCCTACTTCAATTATAGAATAGTTGAGCCCTAAGTAGGTAGCACTTGATTAAGATCATACTTGTACCTACTGGACTTGTAAGCTCAACGTTCGGATTTTTTCGTTTGCAAGTTTGTAGCTAGAGTCATTCATGGAGCATCGTCATAGCAGAATTTTCAGCATCTATTTCAGAGTACTATATTATAGCTTTAGTAGGCATATGTATTCATAGAACCTTACTCATGTATTTGAGACATAAACTTTAAGTTGTATTATTTTGATTTTAAATTATGTGTCACAAAACTCCAATTTGTGTATAGTATTTTTGTAACTTTTATTTATTTCTATTATGATATCATTCAGTATGTTTGAAAAGAATACAAACATGTTTTAAAGATCAGTGGTTGCCTTGATAGCCCAATGTGGCACTTTAGGCCCAATCGGGCTTAGTGTGTTATATGCAATTCAAGTACTTCAATATTCTTTATCTAATGTCACATGTCAACTTTTTTTCAAACTTACATGAAAAAGATTTAATCCTTTATGTACCTATTTTGACCAAAAAATACTTTAGGTACTTATTTTAGCTAAAAAAAGTTTATGTACTTATTTTGGTCAAAAATACTTTATATACTTAGATAAAAAAATGTTATACTTCAAGTACTTATTTGTAATATAAGCCATAAAAATATATAATATTAAATAAAAAATAACAAAATTTAATTAATAAAATATAATTTTTATCATATGTGGTTGATAAGTCAAAATGTAGGGGTTGTTTGTTAAAACAAAATGGTTTAGCATTGGATGATTTAGCAGTCTGAATGATTAAAAGGCTTTGTATGATATAGTTCTGAATAGAAAATTTGTTTGATAATACATCTGAATGGCCGGTCTAAATGAAAAAATAATCATATTACCCTTATGTATGATTTTGTGCCAAAATAAAATATATTTGTTTCTACCTTGTGAATAAATGCTAAACTTCCATTTTTAACATCCATTTTTATTCTGTAGCTTTCATGAGCTGAGGAACTTCCATGGCCAAACTTTCACTTGACGCTGCAAACGGGACAACAAAAATAAAACATTCATCAGTTAAGAAATTGATAACTATAACCGAAGAACTCAGTGAGTATTATAAAAGAAATTAGAGGCATAGGAACCTTTTGCGGTCGGTGCTGGGGCTGATCTGGTAAGGGATGCTGACACCACACTTGCCTGGGAGTCCACTTGCAAGGTTTAAGTTGATGCCAGTGATGGTGGCAGCTGCACTTTTGAGGCAGTTGCAAGCTTCTTGGCGTTCTGGTGTTGTTTGGGCTTCACCGTTGAGGGTTTTGATCCCACTGCAGCATGCTGGAGGAACAACACCATCGCCTGGACCCTTCAAGAACGAGAGGGTATTAGCGTAATGTCTTATGTCTGAATGATTAGGTGTCTTTTTTGAGCCTGAATCGGTCAGCCCCTCCAAATCATTCAGAGCCATGATTTTATGCGAACCAAACACGGAATCGGTCCGATTCAGCATTAAGATCTGAATGGTTCAATTAAGAGCCAAACAAACAGCCCGTAGTTTTCATAAAATCTAAATGTTTCTATTTTTAACCGTAAAATATTCAAAATAATTATTAACTACAAAAATACAAAAAATATTATATAGAAAATACATAGTAATTAATCAATTAAAAGACTTAAATAATTAACGTTAAATAAAAAATTATCAAAACTTACCATAAATTTGAATGACACCCAGATCCTCTTTTATATAAAATAAATAGTGGATAATTTTTTTATGTGTTGTTACATACAAGGGAGGGGGATTTATAGTCGGAGAAGGAAGGTGCAAGGGAAGAAAGGTGAGCGAGAAGACGCTTTTTGCCTCCCTTATTTTTTAAAATTTTCAAAATCTCATCAAGACGCTTTTCATAGGAAGTATCTTTCAAAAAGATTGTTGACTGGACTATATGTGGAAGAAGATACGTTTTATAAAAACCATTTTTTTAAAGGTGTTTCTAACAAAGAACACCTTATGTATATGTGGTCGAAAAGGATACTAATTGATAGTACCGTAAAAAGCATGCAATTTTGCCTGTACATTAAATTGGTTTTGTCCCTAAGTTATGCATTCGATCATATTTGTGACATTATTTTATTTTCATAGCATTGCATTTAAGATTAATTTTGTTTAATGTCACTGCCCAAGTTTTGAAGGAAATATAAATGTCACCGCTTTGGACAAAGAGCAAGATGTCATCATAATTATTGAATGGAAAGATGGTATTCTAGAAGCTAGGCCGTTATGTTGAGCTGACCCTTATTGTAGAAGGTTGTACGGACGATCACACTTTGTGCATGAAGGACAGTTGTACCTTGAAGAGCTTATAAAAGGATAAAGTACATACCCCATAAGGGGTTCCTCTCTTCCATATCCCTTCCTCATCCTTAGATCCATTCAATCATCTTCTCTATCACCCAGACACCATACTAGTGAAGTAACTTATATTTCTTTTGTTTGTTTTTTTTTTTTTTTTTGCGACGACAGTGTATGACCAGGAGCAATCCTGGTGACATACTAGATCTTGATCCAGAACCAGAACCAGAACGTACTTTCAGAAAAAGGAGAGAAGCTCAGTATGTATGAGCTATAGCATAGAGGAATATTAGAACTTTGTTTTCTCGTGTTAGATAATCTTTAACCTGAAGTGGTACGACCTTCTATTTAAGTAGGCAACTTTTAACTCAATCTGGTTATGTTCCAGATGCTTAATTCCTATGGGCAATACGCTGGATTGCCACATTAGGATGCCAGGGATTATATTAAATTTTTCCTTTTAATTTGTGCATAATTTACTTAACAAGGTGTTCCTGACGATGCCTTAAAAATGCATTTATTTCCTTATTGTTTGCAAGGTAGAGCAAGGATGTGGTTCCTAGGACTACTAGTTGGATACATTACTTTGTGGAATGAATTGGCCACACAATTTGTGCTTAGGTTCAACCTACCCATAATGATTACAAAGTTAAGGAATTATATTAAGTCTTTTTTTTTTGGCGATGTCCCATACATGGCATGCAACAAGAAACCTAGATTGAAATCTTTTGCAATGGGCTGAATGTAAAGGAAAGAAACATTGTTGATGCATCTACCAATGACTTATTATATAGGAAGATATTGATGTGGAAGATATTGGAGCACTTTCTCAAAATGATTGCCAATATACAATATATAGGAAAATCACAGCAAGAAGTACTCTTGATGTTTTGGAATTAGATTCAATCTTTACCTTAGGTGATCAAGTTTCTGCGTGGACAAATCTGATCAAGAACATGAAATGAACTACTGAGAAAGCACCTGTTCAGACAACAAAGTCGATTGATATCCCAATATTTAGTTGCGAGCTATGCAACAAAAACTTTGAAGATTGTCCCTAGCACATGTAGAATGCCTGCTATGTCAATAACCTTCGAGGGAATTGCTTTGAAAATTCATTTGGAAATTCTTGTGGAAACAATTCCAACACCCACAACCAAAGTGAAACCACTTGGGGAAATCAAAACCAAAGTCAACAGTCTAATGATTTTCATTTTGGAAATAAAGCTTCTTCAAGAAATTATAATCAATGTAAGAGTGGTTTTAATCGTCCTCAGTAGCAATTTAATTAGAATCAATAATTTAGTCAAACAATCCTACAATCAATAACCATTTCAATCACAACAAACTTATCCAAATCAGTCCTAGAAATTTATGTAGCCACAATCAAATCAATTTTAAAATCAAAATACTTCAACCTCTCGACAGGCCAATTATTATCAAGTTTCAAGTTCATATTCTTTATCATCATTGGAAGCTTTAACGAGGGATTATATCACTCGTACCGAGGCCATAGTTTAAGGAAATTCTTCTTCCATTAGATCTTTGGAAGCTTGATTCAACCAACTTGCCTCATCAATGAACATTAGACCACAAGGAAACCAGTCTAGTGATACTTAGAACCCTAAAGCTAAGGAGCAGAGTAATACATTCACTTTAAGGAGTAAAAAACAAATTGGGAAGCCTAAGGATGTCACTGGTCCAACACATGATACAACCAATGATGAACAGAGAAAAGTAAGCAAAGAAACCAATGATCCAAAAAACGAAGTGAACAAAGAAGTTAGCTATGATTAAGAAGTTTTTCCACCAATCATCACATTTATGCCCAATATTGTGAAATTCTTAATGCTAACCCCTATTTGTTAACACCATTTTTGTAGTGAAAGATGTTGACGCAAGTTGATTTGACTCTTCAAATTTCATTTCCTCATAGATTCAAAGATGAAACACAAGATGAAGAGCGTCGACAATTTTCAGTATGTTGAAGCAACTTCAAGTACTTCTCATCGATGCTCTTTTTCAAATCCCTAAATATAAGTACATAAAGCAGTTGCTTGGTAAAAAAAAGAAGCTCAATGAGATTGAAACGATTGCGCTCACAGAGGAATACATTGATATTGTCACCAACAAACTACCTCTAAGTAAAAAGATCTTGGAATTTTTACCATCTCCTGCTTCATTGAAGATTATTATGTGGGAATGACTTTTTTTTTGGCTTGGGATCGAGCATAAAATTAATGCCCTTATCAATTTGAAAATAGATTGGGTTGAGTAACATGCAGCCCACTGAGGTGACATTACAATTGGTCGACAAGTAGTTGGCATAACCTCAAGGGAAAGTCAAAGATATGGTGTTAGAGCGCATAATATTTTTTCTCATTTGATTTCATTATCCTTGAATGTGAGGTTGATAGAGATGTTCCTATTATTCTTGGGCGACCATTCCTAACAACTAGAAGAACTATGATTGGCATGTCAAAGAGAGAGGTGACTATGCGATTCAATGAAAAACATGCCACTTTTAGTGCTTTTGGATGAAGCAAGGCTAGTGAAGAATGTTACACCATTAATTTCATAGATGAAGAAATTCTTGAGGAGTTAAAGGACTCAAGCAAGGAGGCATGTGAAAATTTTATGTTATCACACTGTGGAGTGAATTACAGAAAAATTACGACTGTCGTGAATCAAGAAATAATAAAAGGGATGTGTATTACGATAAAGAAAACCGAGCAAAAATTCTTCATTCATTCAAGAATTCTTGGAAATGAAAATTTGATCAACAAACTTTTTGGTGGCTTATTAAGACCTCCTGAAGTAGTAGAGATATTGAAGCAGGATCCACCTTGTCGTAACCGGTTTTCGTCCGGGCACAAATTTTTTACTTTTGGGAAGAATTATGTGAATAAATGGTTTTTAAAATAAATTGGGAGCCGCCATCGGCCTTTTGGGTCAGGTAGGTCGAATACCTAAAAATCATCATTTAAAAGAGTTTTTAAGAAAAAATCGATTAAAAGATAAACTGATCTGCGTTTTAACCAAAAATTCGTTCTTTTTAATGATAAAAAGGGATTCGTGGTCGGTTACGTTTAGGGAAGGATTAGCACCCCCTACAACGCCCAAAATTGGTACTTTTTAATTATAAATTGTCTCTATTATTAGAAATTAAAAATTCAAAATATATTTAATTTATAATCCTATTATTTTAAAATTATAATTATGAAAAATATATATTAATTTATATATATTTATAAATAAAGTATTTATTTATTTAGAAATATCATAAAAGGACTTCTAGGTGCCTTAAGACAGCTCTTTTCTTCGATATTAAAAAATAAATAAATGATTAAAAATAATAATATATAATTTATAAAATAGGATATTTATTTATTTAAAAATATCATAAAATAGACATCCAGTTGTTTTAAGACTGTCCTTTCTTAATATTGAAAAATAAATAAATATATATTAAAAATGATTATTAAAAGTAATTTATGAAATATAGGATTTTTAACGAATAAACAAATATTATTTATTATATATATATATTTATTTATATAAATAATAAAAATAATAATAAAAAATAATATTGCAAATAATGATTAAAATAAAAGGAATTAAAAATATAGTATTAAAATATTAAAAAAAAGATCAAAAATGAAATTTTAATGATTAAAATGTAAAATTATAAAACTAGAGTACTAATTCGAAATATATAAAAGATGGGCATTAAAAGTGTAATTTAACCATAATTCATAATACGGGATTAAAATAATAATTACTAAACTATGAGGGACTAAATTTGATATTTACCTTAAATATATTATTTAATACTGGTAAGGACTAAAACATAATAAAATAAAATTCGAAGACTGAATTAGAACGTTCAGAAGTTAGTTTCAGTGACTAAAATGAATAATTACAAAACTCGGATGGCTGCGAAAAGAATTTGGCCATGCGCGAAATTACAGATATACCCCTCCCAAAACGGCGTCGTTTGGGAAGGGGTATAAATGCCCCAAACGGCTGGCCCGAAGGGCCAGCTCTCTCATTTTTCTTTCTCTCTTCTTTCTCTCAAATGAGAGAACCAGAGTTCTCTCTGGCCTCTCTCTAGC